GCCTGCTCCTTGAATCCCCACACTCTGCTCTGCACGGGATGCGCCTCGGCCCGGAACACCCCTGGGTCCTCTCTACCCCACCTACAGGCGCAGGGCCCAGGGGTTGACTAGGCTGGGCCCCAAGCTGCAGGCTCTCCAAGGAGGGCCTTCAGGGAGCGCCTGGAAGGACGAACCCAGATCCCTGGGCAGCAGCAGGGCCCGGGAGCAGAACTCAGGCAAGGCCGCAGGGGAGGCTGACGTGGTCCCTCGAGGTGACCCACGGCTGAGGGCATACCCTTCCCGTGTCCGGCTGGTGGCATGTCCAGAGGGCAAGGGCACGGCGGGCAGCCTGGCCTCCCTGGGCATCCCTCCAAAGATCTGAGCGGAGGGAGCTTGGTGGGTCACCGTGTCATTCCCCACCGAGGAGGTGGGACAGCCGTGGCCTTGCTGTGACGGTCCTCATCAGGGCCTGTCTGGGACATCGTCCCTTGATGCGTGAGGAGGGCCACGGCCTTGGGGAAGAGCAAAGGCAAAGCAAGCCCTCCCCCTGGGCCTGCTGTGGGGCAGGCGGGAGCGTGGACCCCAGCTCCGTGTGTCCCTGCTCCGTGGGCACAAGCCACCCTGGGAGCTGTCTGATCCTGGACTGTGCCCGTGTGCCCCCTGCAGGAGGAATGGGGGCTGCCCACATTGCATGGGGAGGGCACGCCTGCATGACCCCCGGCCTGGAACCATGCCGTATGGACAGGGTCTCTGGGCCTGGCAGGTCCCCTTAGGATGACCATGCCGTGGTCCAGAACTCTGGCTCAGACAGGACTCGGGCCATCAACCTGCGGTCCTGCCGTGTCGGGCATGTCCAGGGCAAGCCTTGGGGGATGGCTGGGGGCTGACCACACCGCCCACCCCCAGGGTGCAGGCGCCCCGCCCCCAGCAGTGCCTGAAGTCCCAGAAGCCTGTGCCCAGCTGCCCGCGGCCCCTCGGCCCGGGTTTCCCCCAGCACGCAGCAGTTTGCTGGGCACCCAGGGGCAGTCTGTGGGCAGTGAGGCTGGGCAGGACCAGACCAGACCAGTCATGGGGATTGGAATCCTTTATTGACCACTGAGACGAGCCGTGTCCTCCCTCACTCTGTGGGGGGTGCCAGGCTGGGCGTGGGGGTGGCGGGCGGCCTAGGACTCGGTCTCGAACATCTTCTTCCTGCCCTCCATGCCAGACTTCTCCTCGATGTTCTTCCGCCAGTCGCCCACATCGCGCAGGTCCCGCTCCTGGGGAGGGGTTGGTATGGAGCTTAGGAAGAGGCTGCAGACCCCCTGTACGCCCCAGGCGGGCGCTGGGTGGTGGTGCTGGGCCGCGCTGTGGGGTGGAGGGGACCGTGACCTACCTTCTCGGTGTCCTCCTTCTTGACCTGCTTCAGGTTGGCCCGGAGGTCCATGCACACCTTGTGCTTGGAGCCCAGCAGCGCCTTGAGCATGGCGTCGGCCGACATGCGCACCCTTCTCAGCGGGGGCCTCTTGAACTTGCCTCTCAGGTCGAACAGCTTCTGGTTCATGTCCTCCAGCTGTGTGAGGCAGGGGCGAGGGCTGGTGGGAGCCAGCGGTGGCCAGG